GATGACTGCTACACCTCAGCCCAGGGCTGCACTGCCACCCTGGGTAACTTCGCCAAAGCCACATTTGATGCCATCTCTAAGACCTACAGCTACCTGACCCCTGACCTCTGGAAGGAGACTGTATTTACCAAGTCTCCCTATCAGGAAATCACTGACCACCTTGTCAAGACCCACACCAGAGTCTCCGTGCAGTGGACCCAGGCTCCAGCTGTGGCTACAACATAGGGTTTTTATACAAGAAAAATAAAGTGAATGAAACCTGAAAAAAAAAAAGTTAGCTGGACATGGTGGGTATGCCTATACTCCCAGCTACTCCAGAGGCTGAAGTTGGGGGATCACTTGAGTCCAGGAGATGGAGGCTTCAGTGAGCTATTACCTTGCCACTCCTCTCCAGTCTGGGTGACAGAGCAAGCCCTGTCTCAAAAACCAAACAAAACTACAAAGTTCTGGCTTCTCCCACAGCCTGCAAGCCTTCTTTTTTGTTTCTTCCCTCATAAACACTGATGGCTCTGCTTTGCTGGCACGTAAGCATGCATTTTTTCCTAATCTTTGGATAATACAACACCGCCCAGGAGTGGCACTCAAGACTGAATCTTGAAGAAGAGTAGAAGTTTGCCAAACATGAGCAGGTAATAATTCCCAGAAAAGGATACAAAAGTAAGATATAAAAACTCATCCGTATTGAAAAATCAAAAGACTCCATGAAAGACTGTTAGAAATAAGAAACGAATTCAGTAAAAGTTGCAGGATACCAAATCAACATGCAAAAATCAGTAGCATTTATATGCACCATCAGCAAACAATCTGAAAAAGAAATCAAGAAAGCAATCTCATTTACAATAGCTACCAAAGAATATAAACTATGTAGGAATCAATTTAACCAAAGAAGTGAAAGATCTATAAAAGGAAAACTAAAAAACTGATGAAAGCAATTAAAGAGGACACACACACAAAAAGGAAACATATTCCATGCTTATGGATTAGAATAATTAGGCGGGAAGATCACAAGGTCAGGAGATCGAGACCATCCTGACTAACACGGTGAAACCCCGTCTCTACTAAAAATACAAAAAAAATTAGCCAGGCATGGTGGTGGGCGCCTGTAGTCCCAGCTACTCGGGAGGCTGAGGCAGGAGAATGGCGTGAAGCTGGGAGGCGGAGCTTGCAGTGAGCCGAGATCGCGCCGCTGCCCTCCAGCCTCCAGCCTGGGCAACAGAGGGAGAGTCCGTCTCAAAAAAAAAAAAAAAAAAAGACAACATTACCTAAAGCAATTTACAGATCAATCCAATCCCTATCAAAATACAAATGGCATTCTCTACAGCAAGGATCCCCAACCCCCGGGCTATGGAACAGTACCCATCTGTAGCCTGTTAGGAACCAGGATGCACAGCAGGAGGTGAGCGGTGGCCAAGTGAGAATAACCGCCTGAGCTCACTTCCTATCAGATCAGTGGTGGTGCCAGATTCTTACAGAGGCTGGAACCCTGTTGTGAACTGCCCATGCAAGGGTTCTAGGGCGCTGAGCACCTTACAAGAATCTGATGCCTGATGATCTGAGGTGGAACAGTTTCATCCCCAAACCATCCTCCATCCCTACATTCAGCTCTCTGTTTCTAATGTAAATGTCATGTACGATAGTTTGTTGTTTTGTTTTGTTTTTGTTTTTGTTTGAGACGGAGTCTAGCTCTGTTGCCCAGCCTGGAGTGCAGTGGCGCTATCTCGGCTCACTGCAAGCTCCGCCTCCCGGCTTCGCGCCATTCTCCTGCCTCAGCCTCCAGAGGAGATGGGACTACAGGTGCCCGCCACCACGCCCGGCTAATTTTGTTTTTGTATTTTTAGTGGAAACGGGGTTTCACCGTGTTAGCCAGGATGGTCTTGATCTTCTTGACCTCGTGACCTGCCCGCCTCGGCCTCCCAAAGTGCTGGCATTGCAGGCGTGAATCACCGCCCCCGGCCACGATAGTGACATCAGAACTGTTTTGTAAAGCGAAGTGGGATAGATGTGGCACACACCAGCCACGGTTTCCACCGTCCCCAGAGCGTGAAGAGGCAGAGCCACTGCTCTCAAGGTTAATGACAACTCAGTAAAGCACTGCTCTTATTTTTTGCAGTCTTCAATTTGAGAAAGGCGAGAAATAATATTTTCAATAAATATGGTTCATACCATTAAAAAAAAAAAAAATCCCCCCAAGTCCATGGAAAAATTGTCTTCCACAAAAGCGGTCCCAGGTGCCAAAAAGGTTAGGGACTGCTGCTCCAAAGAAATAGAAATAGAAAAAAAATCCTAAAATCTATATGGAACCACAAGAGACCCCAAAGAGCCAAAGCAATCCTGAGCAAAAAGCACAAAGCTGAAGGCATGATGCTACCCAACCTAAAAATCTACTACAAAACTATAGTAACCCAATCAGTATGGTACTGACATAAAAATAGACACATAGACCAATGGAACAGAATAGAAAACTCACATATAAATACATGCATTTACAACCAACTCATTCTAGTCAGTACCGAAAGTACAAAGGTGCCAAGAACATACAATGAGGAAAGGACAATCTCTTCAA